TTTATGCTGTGATCTCCACACTCACAGGTAAGTTATTCTGCTGGCGCCTGCCACAAACACTCACAGTGGTAGCTAAGGGTAAGACCGTCAGCATTTCCATCATAAACTTATATTTTCAAAGGTTTATGACCTGGCCATAAAATGTCGCCTGGGGGGTGAATCTTACAAAGTTGTTTTAAGTTACAAGAGTGTAAAAGAATAGTAAAAAAAAAATGAATAAAAGGATGTTCTTAATTGCTGGTGCCTTTTGGATGCTTTTGGAGGTTTCAAAGGCCTATAATTGAGCAGCCCATGGGCCTTCCTAGCATAAAGATCAGTGATGCTTTGAAGTAGGGCATTTTCAAAATGAAATGAGAACCCCTCTGCTGCTATAAGACAGGTTGCCATGGAAGAAGATGCACTGTTGCTTCCAAATAACACAATAATGAAGATTTCTCTCCCACCCTTCCGCATAGGTTAGGGATTGAGGCACAGGCACAGGGAATGAGAATCACATTGTTGGAAAGGGTTGAAAATGACCAATTGTAAACATGATGCATATTGAACCAGTTACTGAGAGCTCAGAGCTCTGGACACTCATAAATGAGCTATGGACAGCAATTGAAGCTGACACAGTTACGAGTTTGCTGTTCCAGACAAACCAACAAATTCTTAGAGCAGAGCTGGAGGCATACTGGCTTTCTAGGAGAACAAATGATTTGTAGGGATGATAATGCCAAGTGCATGATATCACTGTTTATTGTCCTCCCTCCGAGAATACCTAGTCTGCTGGGGACATCTCTGTGTGTTTGGATAAGTCATTCCTACTTCTTGGATCTAAATTACCTCAGCTGTAAAAGAAAGGGATGGGGGCAGTTAGGTGGCGCAGTGGATAGAGCACCGGCCCTGAAGTCAGGAGGACCTGAGTTCAAATCTGGCCTCAGACCAAACACTTGACACTTACTAGCTGTGTTTCCCTGGGCAAGTCACTTAACCCCAATTGCCTAAAAAAAAAAAAAAAAAAAGAAAGGGATTAAAATAGACCACCTTCAAGGTCCCTTCCAGCTCCTAGATCTTACAATCCTCAACCCTCAATCACATACTCTGTATTTGACTCAGTCATGAACATTGGAATTAACCAATCACCCACCAACATGCTTTTATTAAGTGTTACTATTGCTAAATACTAGGAATACAAAGAAGTAATTAAGAATCCTTGGCCTCATGAAGCATACATTCTAGTGGAAGAGACAATATATCAATACATAGGAGCATATGAAATATACCCAAAGATAGAAGGTAAGCTTAAAGAGAAGGCACTAGTTACTAAGCATCTGCCTATCTTCTTCAAGCTAAAGTAAGAACCATGATTTCTCCATAATTTTAACAAGATTATGGCCTATCTACAAGAAATTATCAACCAGTACCACATTATCCTCCAACCAAACCGAATGGGATGCAACAAACAGCTCCTGCTCCAGAGAAGCTTACTGTCTTATACCTCACAGTGAGTGAAAAGTGGGAATACTTTTTCAATATCAGTATTCTCTTCTCTCATATTTAATGCCATAGCAAGAAGGCCAAAACCTCTCAGTCTTTTCCGATGCTGACTTTGTCATCCAACATATTAGTTCTCCATGTCAATTGCATATCTCATAAGCATGTCGTTGATATCTTCATTCCAGTCACTGCTAAAAATGTTCCATCGCAAAGACCAGAGGACAGATGCCTAAAGCATTCCAACAGAGATGTCCTCTCCAGCTGACATTGATTCATTAATGAAGAGTCTTTAAGTGCAATCCTGAAACCTGTTTTAAACCCACCTAACTATATTAGAGGACACATTATTCTATCTTGCACACAAGGATAATATCAAAGCTTTGCTGAGATGTAGTTATATACTATGCATATAGCATTCCTATGCTTAGTCAGGTTTTTTTTTGTCTTTCTTGTTGAAAGATAAAAATAAAATAAACAAAAAACAAATGCTTGTTGAGTAACTCAGTGCCTAGTGACCCTATCAAAAAATGAAATAAGATCTATCTGACATGACCTTTTACTTTATGTAGCAGGGTTCAATCCTTCTGATCACAGCTCCCCAAACTCCTCCCCCCATGCCAAATATAAACAATCCTTTTAAAATATATCTGTTACAATTAATTTCATTCTTGGTAATTTTAAGCCAGGAATTGATGTCAAACCCCCTGACCTATAGTCTGTAGATAATCCGCTTTCCTCTTAGAAAAGTGCTTCAATATTTTCCCTTTTTCAATACAGTGGCATCTCTGCCATTCTTGATCACCACCTTTCAGAAATCACTGCCAGTACAACAGCAATCACACCCATCATTTAGTTCTGCTGTTAAGAGGCAGTATGGAATAGTGGGTCAAATGATTAACTTGGAGTAAGAAAGACCTAGCTTTAAATCCTGCCTTTGATACCTATTAGCTATGTGACCCAGGGTAAGTCAATTAACCTCTCTGAATTTTGGCTTGCTCATCTGTAAAATAAAGAAGTCAGAGTAGATGAACTCTGTGTTCTCTAGCTCTAAAGTTATTATACTATGTCCCTCTCCTAGTAGGATAAGGGAGTAATAATAATAATAATGATAATAAATAACAATAATAAATAGAATAGCATTTTAGACTTGTAAAGTACTTTACAAATATTTCATTTTATTGCTTCAACAACCCTGGGAAGTAAAAACTGTGATCTTTATTTTATAGATGAAGCAACCGAGGGTAAATGACTTGCCCAGAGTCACAAAGCTATAAGTGTCTAAGACAAGATTTCAACTGATCTCCCTAACTTCAGAGCCAATGCTCTATCCACTAAACATCTGGATGTTAAAGGATTCATGGGTAAAGAGCAATATAGCATTGAAACAATGAAACATAAAATGAAGTCTATAAAGAAAGGAAAGTGAAGAGAGAGCAGGAAACTAGAGAGATCAGAGAAGTTCTTAACCTGTGGTCCGTGAACTTGGTATAAAAATTATATAGACAGAGATAAAGATATAGTTAGATACATAGAGAAATATTTCTATATATTTTATATAATTTTGTATAAATTTTTATATAAATTTTTAATATTTTTTTATAAATGGTTTCTTTGTAATTCTTTATATATTATTTTATGCATTTAAAGTGTTATACTGAATGGAAGGTTCAATGGATTCATCAGAGTTCTGCACAAGAGGATCCATGGCAAAAAAAAAAAAGTTAAGTAGCCCTGGACTAGAGGTTGTGGTGATCATGAAGAATGGGTTTAGGAGGAATGATGGAGAGAGAGATGGAAGACCAGGAGATGATTTTCAGAGAAGGTAATTTCAGACTTCAAGATGACGGTAGTGACACATAGTTATTGATGATGGAGACATATTTAAGTCATTTTTCAGTCATGTCCGACTCTTCATGAGACCACTTTGGGGTTTTTTTGGGAAAAATACTAGAGCGTTTTCCCATTTCCTTCTCCAGCTCATTTTACAGACAAGGAAACTGAGGTAACAGTAACTTGCCCAGATGTCACAAAGCCAGTAAGTGTCTGAGGCCAGACTTTTACTGACTTCAGGCGTGGCACTCTATCCACTGTACCACCTCCCTGCCATGGTGACATCTAAGGCATGCTTAAGTCTTTGGATGGCTAAGGTGGAAAGAAGAAGTAGGACTCAAGGAGGCAAGGGTTTGGGGGGAAGACACTGACATGTCTTTTGAAGGTACCAAGCATGGGTCCTGGGGATGATGTGAAGAGGAAGACTGACAAAGAACTAATGAGAAGGAACTGAAAGCAGACCGGGGAATGACAGAAGAAGGGCCTATGCTGGGTGACAGAGACAGATGGAGTAAATCTAAGGGGAAGAGTTTATGGATTGTTGGTAGCAGCAGGGGTATGCCAACTTCTCATCCTCCCAGCTTAGAGGGATGAGGAGAAACTCTCCTCCAGAGACTGTGGTCTGGGACTGAGTGTCTTCTGGAGTGATCCAGGTTTCTGAAGGGAAAAAAAAGAGATGAAAAGACCATGAAAAGAAGAGTTCTAGGATGAGTTTTCATAGGGCAACACAGCATAGACAAAGGATCGGAGGGTTAGAGAAGGTGGTTTGAGATGCATAAGGATGAATCCAGGGAAATTCACAAGGGAAAAGTCTTTTTTTTTTCCCTTCAAAATACCCAACTGAATCCCAGGTATCAGGGAAGCAGGAGGACCAAGTTTGCTAGCCACAGACCCAGGAAAATGCCAACTGATCACAGCCCAAACCCTAAAATCACTGGCTTACCTTTTCTTCCCAGCTCCATTTCTTTTCCTCCTTTCAGCCCTTCCTATTTTTATGTTCATGAAAGCACAGCAGGAACAATCATTTTAACTGCATTCCTGGCTGCGACCCCCTTTTGTAAACATTTCCTCAAAGTTAAAATGAAAACTCATCCTCCTTCCCCATCAATGACAGAAATGCTATCAGCCTTTCCTCTGTTCTGCCTAAAACATCAAAAACCAAGCAGCCTGGGCCTCTCAAATGCAAATGCTCCTCCTGACCTTCTCTTAAGGCTCTGGAATCCTTGGGGCTTCCCAACAATTTAGGTTTCTCTAGATATTCCTCCTTCTCTCTTTCCTTCCTACTGGGAAATTTACCTTCCTTTCTTTGGAAATCTATGTGAAACCCTTTGAATACTTTATTCACCACATGGGTTATTTTGCTGTTGGGTACTAGGCATTTATTATCTATGTCACTGCCTGGCAGGATCTGAGCTTGCTGAAACAAAGGCAGGCAGAGACAAAGGGAGGAGGGGTAAATAGCATAAATATCTAGGAATTTGCCCACACATGCATGCCATGCACACATATGCTAACCTATGGAATGGATATATGCTCGTGGTGTTATTCATCTGTTCAAAGGCAGAAACACCCACACGATAGGCTGAACTCTGTAGATGTCACAGCTCTGAGTCTCTGAGATGGGGAATGGGATGCACACTGAATGGAACAAAGAAGGGGAAAAAAGTGAATAACTGGAGCAAGAATTTCACCTGGCAAATCCAACACCTCTGCTGACTCCATTGGCATCTCTCAATATTCTGGTGGAAATGACATGGCCGAAGGGTTTCAGCATGTTCTCCAATTCCTGCTCATCCATGGAAATGGGTAAATTGGAGATGTATAGGTTTGTGGGGTCTTGTTCTTGTTGCTAGGACAAAAAAAAAAAGAACAGAAACAATTGCATTATATTACAAATGCCAGTGCCTATTTATTTGGCATTTATCTTTAATTTAATGATTAAACAAATAAATCTCTCAGGGCTCCTCCAATGCAAGTCAATTAAACTCAACAGATATTTATTAAATGCTTATTGTTTATAAAGGCATGACGTTAAGTCCTGGTAATACCACAATAAAAATGAAATGGTCCCTGCCCTTATAGGGCTTACATTCTCCTTGGGGGGGGGGGGTTATCACACGTACACAGGGGAGCAAATTCAAAAGAGTCATAGAAAAAATACAAAATCATTTCTGGAGAGTGAGACATCTACTTTGCCCCTCACATTAAGTTAGGGATTCCAATTTCTTTTCCCATCATTTGACTGAAGCTACTCTTCTACTAGGTCACCCCCTCCATCCTTCTTTGAGACAATACCATTTCCCTAGCCTTAATTCTCAAATACTCCAAATGACCTATGAGTTGATGAGTGGGTATTCCCTCTCACAAGAGAGATCACCCACCCATACCTGCTTCATCATGTGTGACTCTTATCTACTGCTTCCTGTTTGTCCAGACTATGTTTATGTGTCAATATAGGTATATCTTAGCATGCTTTCTCTGGATGATATAAGAATATCAAAGTGGCAGTTGGGTCATCCATCAGCTATCCCTTACCCTTTCCTCATGACCGAAACATTTTGGTTTTAACTCTTTTCTTTGATGACAATTTTCCCCTCCACTTCCCCTCTATAATTTCCCCATTTACAATGGTTTATTGCTTATGATGTGCCAAACTGGACTAGTCCATCCCAATAAAAAAAAATAAACAGTATTTTAATTTTTGGTCTTCCTTGGCAACACTCTCTTCTATTTATCCCTTTTTCTCTCTTGGAATTCAATGTTTTACATGAGGAAAAGTGGTTGATGTGGAGTTAGAAGGCATGGGTCTGTATACTAGGTGTGCCATGATAGCTTTGTGACCGTGACAAATCATTTCACCTCACTGGGCCTCTCAGTTTTCTCGTACGTAACATTAGGGTGTGGTACAGGATAATTTTGAAGGGACTTCCTGCTCCAGATCTGTGACCCTTGGCTGACTTGTGCAGTTTATGTCATCCCTTATGTAAGGAACTTTCTCAAGGTTCAGTCCATAACCCAAGTACTGCTTCACTGCTAAGTCAACCTAATGGAGATTAACAGCAATGGACAGTTGATAAATCAGAACTGGAAGTTATAAATAATAGAGTTAATTTGAAACTAAAACAATGACAGCAGCTACTGAGGAATGGAGCTATGAAAAGAAGAGTTACCACCAAGACAGGATAGGCTTTACTTGGATATAAGAACATAGAGAAAAATGTAGTCTTTCTTAAGCAGACTCAATCTTTTTTTCCCCCAGGATGCAGCACATAGAACAAAGAAAATAAGTCCAACTAAAGAAAGATGTAAATCTAAATCGGTACAGTTCTCCAGTTTCTTACAGTATCTTCTTATCCACTATTTTTTATCCACTTTCTTATGCATATATATTTTTTTAATCAGGATGGGCCAGTCAGTGGGGTTCAGTTTGTCACATTGTAAACAATAACTCATTATAGATGTGGAAATTATGAAGGGGAAGTGGAGGGAAAATTGTCATTAAAGAGAGAAGGAAGAGTTAAAACCAAAATGGTTTGGTCATGAGGAAAGGGCGAGGATCAGATGATGGATGACCCAACTGCTTCTTTAATATTCTTGTATCAGCCAGAGAAGGCACAGAGGGCTTCCAGGTATGTTTCATTATATCCATGTAACAGCAAATTAAGTAAAGTAGGTGTTATTCCTGCTTCACAGACCAGCAAACTGAGGAATGGACAAGTTAGTTGCCTGACATCACAAGCTCATTAACACTGACAAGAGGGTTCAGATCTGCTCCTTCCATTAGACTGTACCACTACAATTGTATCATTGTCTCCTAAAAAGCAAGGTCTAACCTTCCAATTTTCATAATTCCCAATACTGTTTGCATGAAAGAACATAGCATGATGAACAGTAAATGCTATATCTTCTTTTTCTTAAAACCACCACCAACAACACCACCTTTGTTATAAGGGCTGGGGAAGAACAGCAGAAGGGATGCAGGGGAAACACGAGTGATATAAAAACCAAAACCAAAACCAAAAATCTATGAAAATAAATCTGCTTAAAAATAAAAGTAAATGCTATTAACCTGTCCTCTTTAAGGAAGACCAGAGCCTGAACTTAAGGAAATGGTCCTTCATTCATGCTAACTTCATCTATGAATCAAAGTTCCCAGCAGCACTGAGAAGCATTGACAGAGAAAAATGTGACATCATACAGTGGGATTTGCCAAGAGGCTCTGCTATTCAAAAAGCAGAGTTGGTCCTAGATTCAAACTCAGTATGTTGACATAACTATGGAATACTGCTATCTATCTATCTATCTATCTATCTATCTATCTATCTATCTATCTATCTATCTATCTATCTATCTATCTGACTAGGCAATGGGGTTAAGTGACTTGCCCAGGATCACACAGCTAGTAAGTGCCAAGTGTCTGGGGCTGGATTTGAACTCAGGTCCTCTTGACCCCAGGGCTGTTCCATTTAAATACATTTTTTAAAAAAGCTTCCCCCCTGACAGATATATGTGACCTTTACTCTTTAATGAAAGTTAAAATATGTATATATATATATATATATATATATATATAAAATATATATACACACACATACATATATATGTGTGTATATATATACACACACACATATCCACACACACACATACATATATATGTATATATACACACAGACATATATGTGTGTGTGCATATGTATGTATATACATATATTGTTCTGATGTATATGTATATAAATAGTACTTACATATGTGTACACATATCTATTATATACATACGTATATAATTATATCATGGGGGAAAAAACCTGGCACTGGAATCAGAGAGTCTGTATTCAAATCCCAAGTCCGGTATAGACCACCAGTGTGACCTCAGGTAATAACTTTCCTGGGCCTTTGTTTATTTCCAAATGAAAGCATTTAAATAGATGACTTGTGAAATACCTTCTGGCTCTGGATCTCTGATACTAGATGCGATGCTATGATATTCTGAGCACTCATTGCCTGTCCTATTAAAATATAAGCTTTATGAAAAAAGGGACATTTTCCCCTTTCTGTCTTTGTATCACTAGTACCTAGGACAGTGCCTGAGTTACTCAATAAATGCTTATTCCTTGGTGATGTATCACCTAGTAGAAAATAACCTCCTAGAGGGAAGGGACTTTTACAATTTTGTCCTTGCATCCCCAGCATCTGACAGAGTGCCTTGCACAGCATGGGTTTTTTAATAAATGTTTATCAGATTGGGTGGGCAACTCAAAAAACTTCTATATTGTTTTCTGCAAAATGAGCTCAAATTTCATTGGGCTTTTCCCTTTTATACCTATTTTCTAATTTTCTGAAGTTGTCTTGTATTATGACCGACTCTCAGTCAACTGAATATCCCCCAATTTTTCTTGGGGGGCGGTACTGTTTACTATTGTTCTTGGAGGTGAATTTTTGTACACTTTTAGATTCTTAGAGCTGGAAGGGAATTTAGATAACATTTTCTTCCAATCCCCTGAGATGAAGAAATAGAGGCTAAAAGAAATCTTTTATAAGGGCCATGGTCAAGGTTATCATGAAAACAGCTTTTCCAGAGGTGGGAGTTGAACTAAGACCCAGGCCCCCAGCTCCATTGAAGGGGCTTTGCTGGACTATTTCTCTTTTTCCATTCCGTTCAAAGGTCTACATTCTGGGCCAAATGGAAGCCTACAGAGACAAGAAAAATCTCTAGATTTTGCCTGTCTGATGACTTTAACTGCTCATCACTGAGCTTTCATTCTAGAATGAAAGAAAAATCATACAAGACCTTATACACAGTAGCGAATCTTAATTTGAATGAATGAATGGATAAATAGACCACAGAACATCAAAACATACCATTGAACTGTTAAAATACAGGCTCACATGGGCTCTCATTGTGTGTTTGGGGACTTTTCCCCACTCAATATGGGACCAGGTCACTGAATGATCTCTTCCTTCTATTTCACCACCATTGGGGTGGGCTAGGTTCTTTTTACTGCTGGTTTAACTCCATTAAAAAGTCATGAGAAAAAAAGTTTTTTTAAAATGCTGAGCTTCTTTGTAGATGAAAATGGAGGCTATTTCAATCATTTTACAAAATAATTAAAATAATAAATAAAAAGTATCATTTATATATAATAGTAATATATTTTCTATAAAACAGTCATGATATAGTAAATATATTTATATTAAATTATTATGTATTTATATATTAAATAATAGATTATATAAGACTTTAAATTTTATAAAATATTTTACATAGATTATCTCATTTAACCAAAAGATCATAAATATATTTATTTTAGAGAAAAGTGTTTTCCCTCTTCTTAAGTTTTTTTAATTCTTTGATCCTTTTACCCACATCACCACTTGCCCCTCTTTCTCTCCTCCTCCTCCTCCTCTTCCTCTATTTTATAGCCCCCTCTCCCCTCCTCTTTCATCCTCTTTCTATATATAACATCTATATTCATGCCCCAGCTTTTTACTTATTTTAAAGAGCTTCGAGACATTTCCAGCTGAACAGAAAAGTGGAGTTTCAAGGAGGGCTTAGGTACTTCATCCATTTGAAGTTGGAGGCTATATAGATGAAATATTTTATGGGTGTGTATGATTGCTGTTGGATGAAATAAGCTAGGGCTAAGCTAGATGGCCTGAACCTGGAAAGAGGTTTCCACTGTACTCGATATTTCAAGAGCGGAAAATTAGTTGAAAGTACTTGTATGTGAGAAGCACTATATTTAACATCAGAGACACTAAGTTATTAGTGCTGAACAGTCTTAGATTGAAAGGGGGAATATAAGGGGATGCAGGAAGGATCCTTCACAATTAACCTATTGACCGAGGCAA